CCATTTGTTGCAGCTATACAAACAAGCAGAATGAGTTGCCTTGGGATCGCCAATATCTCCTACTGTGCCTGATATGTTTATGGGTAGTTGGAAACGGATGGCTGTAAAAACATTCAGTGTGGCTCCAAAAATATGATTTTGTTTTGTAGACGACACATTAACAGTGCTGAAATCAGAGCACACGCATTATTTCTTTACACATATTAATTCGACAGTCAATGCAATCCAATTCACCTGTGAATTGGAAAATAGTGGAGGGAAATTAGCAATGTTGGATTATGGAATGAAACGGAAACCAGATGGAAGTTTAGACACTAGTGTCTACAGAAAACCTTCACATTCAAACCTCTACTTAGACTTCAAATCGTCTCACCCTGTTTCAGTTAAAGTTGGCTTAGTAAAGTATCTCAGTAACATGGCCAGAAAACTTACCATTTGAACAGATTTAAACAAAAAAAACAGAATACATTAAGGACACCTTACTCATCAACAATCGCTCTCCTAAATTATTCCTTAGGAGACGTGGGAAAAATTTGACTAATATTATTAACACGGGTGTTAATAATAATAGTGGCAATACTGTGAAGAGAGAATTCAGAACCTCCACAATATTGCTAGACAAAGAAGGCACCTCAAAGACATTACGTATGATTCTCAATAAGACTGGCTGGAATTAGAGTGGCATTTACTCCTAGAAGCTGACTTCGAAATAAGCTTTGTGGGTTATAAGATCTTATTGATCCAAATAAGCAGACTAACTTGGTTTGTCAAATCTCTTGCAACGGTTGCGAGGTCAAATGCATAGTGAGAGTAGTCGACCAGGGTTAATTGGGCCATCCGGGCTCGAAAGCCCAGCTGAGTCAAAATTTGTAGATCCTAGTAAGATAAAGAATTTAGAAAAAGCCTCAACCATAAGTATGCATGCAATTACACACAACCACAAAAAAGGAAGGGATAGGCTGAAAGTTCTTGGAAATAACATAGCAGGGTGGAGGTAGAGATTGATAACTGAATCTTTGTCTATTGAATCAACACCGAATATATGCAACAGTAATGATAGGACCTGGTTCTGGATATTTGGAAAGTCCTACTACCCATATCACAAAGCGGATGAGGACCATATAAATGATGTCTGAAAGTTGTGTAGTTGTCTTGAGATGACTATGAACAATACATTATTTCCGAAATGTAATCCAGTAAACAATACTGTTCCACTACGTGATAAATCGAATCAATCAACTAAAATGGTAAGAACAAGTTTTTTGGTAAACATAAAGGGGGTTTCAATTTCCCTATGCCTGTCGTTTTCGAAAATCTCGGTATGCGTCCCTGACTGTGTGCATATGAAACTATGAAAGCTGTTTGAACAGTAATTTTGCGATCCGTTTCTATAGTATGTGAAGCTGTGGATGAAGAGAGTCATCTTCTACAGGTGCTTATCATAGTTTCACATCTCATCTGTATTTGAAGCCAGTTGGGTGCTTGTTCTTCCCCCTCAACTGTGTGGCTCGATTACTCCTATCTACCTATATATGACCACACATACATGTAAACTGGTGAATATAGTAGGGTGTAACGTAATCGTTTATGCATTGTTTAGGCTTATGATGAAGCATATGTTTCGTTTCTTTCCACACTTATAAGCTACGTAATATGTTTTTTTAATGGTTGATGTTAGCCTGCGTCTCAAAATTTTACTATTCAACTCCCCTCTTTATGATACAGTGATATGGACACTTTTCTTAAGAACGGTGTATAAATACGTCATTGATGTTACCTGATTTCTACAATGGTTCATAAACTTCAATAGATATCCATTTTCTTTAAGTGTCTTGGTCAGGCACCTTTTTCATCAGTACTGATTCGAATTTAATACTGGTTTCATATGCTTCTTGATCGTTAGCATCCGGAATTGGGAAGTATTTTTCGCTACGTTTTTGGTTCATCAACTGTATATAACTGTGATTAAAAAGAAGCATAATCTACTATCAAAAGCTTAAGGAATTTGTTGGAGTATGTTTTAGATTTTGCGGAAACCTCAAAACCACTTCATTCATTCACCTTTGAACAGGGATTCTTGTGTCAAGGGGTCAAAATCATATATAAAACAGCAGTATTCTCCAGTTAGACACATAAAAAATTACTCCTAACAGATGCAATTGCTTCTTGTTATGTATAACTGCTTTGGAAGCTCCATGTTATGACCTTCTGGAGTTGTATCTGCTCACGTTCCAGACATTTGTGAATCTGCGTAAGTGTATTTTGGATACACAAGGTTTCCCAAGTATCTAATTGACTTTAGCTTTCACAAAATTTAATGACTGGATGCCTACGAAATGCAGATAAGACCTGTTATAGAAAACTAGTTTTACACTCATAAATATTCATTGATATATATTTTTACTTGTTTGGAAAATACCTACATGTTTCAAAACGACATGTTTATTTTGCTTGAAATTATGAAATACTCAAAAATACTATATGGTAGCATAAGTTTTATTTAGGCTGACTGTAGGTTGGTTGAAAACAGTGGTTTCTATACTCACGTTCTGTCGGTTATACAACAGAAATAGGGTGTCATTTTGAAATGTCGTTTGAACGATGTGTATTTAAGTTCTTCCTATTAATTGCCCTTTTACTTCGACAGGAAGTGAGTTTAAAACCCACTTTAACAACTACTGAGATAACCAATAATGGTTCTCTATTTTATGAAAAAAACTAACTTTTCAGCCTGAAATGTGAAAATCTGATTGGTTATTTCCACAGTTCCTAATGTGTCCTTTGAAGTCACCCTACGCAAGTAACAGTAACTTTGATAAATTGGTCTTGACGTTAGAATTAACTTTGACTGTTGCCATGACTACTAAAAGGATGAACGTTAAACACCTCTGGTTTTCATTATGTTGTCTTAATGTAATCGTTAAATTGATATTTTAACCTATCAGCCAAGGTATGACCGGGATAAGACAATATGATGCGTCAGATGTCATGTGAACAATCAGATAACCGAATTATATGTCTGCAGTTGGCTGATTATAACTTCTGGTAGGGAGATAAGTTGGGTGGTGAAAGTAAACTGGTACAGCAGGACAACTGTTCGTCAAAACCATAGAATTTTTCCGTCCTTGAGCTACCACTAAAAGACCTTGAAGTAACCAATCAAGTTTTGTACTTTGACAGTAAATTAATATCCAGTGTCATGAGCTTAGTGTTTTCCTTATATTCTTGAAATATAACCCTTAAATCTTTCATCAGAGGTTTTGTCTAACCATCTTTGGAACGATAGGAGGAAAACTTGAAGGCCTATTTTCGTCAATACCACAGTTCAGGTGATTTAATGTTATGTGGTCACATGGGTAATTATCTTTATGTTAAAATTCCATAGTTCCACTCAACTGTGTAACATAATACATTTCAAATTATATCAAGTAGTCAATTAGATTTTGTGACTGAACACCAACCTATCACTATTCGCCAACTCCGATTGCATTTATCAGCCTGCCTGCTGTTGTAAAGAAGGTGACATTCACTTCCTTCATAGTATTCACTTTATGAAAGTGTTCTCGAGTTTAGACCTACTTCGTACAGAAAGTGTGATCAGTGAATGAATTGTAATCTGTTTATACTCCGTGAAATACAATTATTCAAATTTTATGCTTCTTCTTATCCTTTCTACAAGGTGAATATGACTTCTGATTTCTTAACTCGTTTGTTATACGAAACAAATGACTGGTATTGTGTGTACTAGATTAGTAAAACGTTTCATTGTTGATTATTTTAAATTGGTTGGTTGCGGCTAGCAGAAGAATCCACGATGCGCGTTTCGTCCTATTTGGGACTCGTCAGCTGCATGTACCTGCACCCCAGCGGTGTTGTTCTCACTGGGACTCGAACCTCGTACCTATCGCCTCAAACGCTAAGGCGTTATGCACTATGCTACGGAGGAACGATAGTCACTTCTTGTACGACGGGTAATAGTTATTACTATTTATTGACATACTTATTATTCTCCGTTGTTTTGTTGGATCGAATTGTTCGACCTCTATTGGGAAACAAGTATGTCAATAAATAGTAATCGATTGTTTTAGTTGTAATCCTTAACTTTTGTGTAATTAAAGGGTTAGATAATCTGTCTACTGAAGTCCTGAAATAACTGGCTTTCTATACTTTTGTCTTCTAGTATCCGAGACCGTATTCAAAGAGCTTACTATCTCAGTTCATTATTTGTAAGCAAGAAAGCTTCTACATGACAGAAGGTCGATTTCAACGGTTACAGGCTCTCATCTAGACTTTGGTTTATTGATATTTGTCTGCCTCTATATAAGTGTTCCTTATATTTCCACCACAATTGAAGTCTGGGTCTATACTTTGCATTCCAGACGCCTTAGCAGTGCACAACCTTGACACTGCCAGGGATCGAACCCAGAACCATCAAGTTCCGTGGCTAGTACTGTTGATGAGTCTTACACTAGGACAAAAAAGCTGTCCAGTACTTCTAGGTTTTCAATCTTTTTTCAACTGATGTCAATTCATGATGAATACTAACTTGAAACCAATAAATCTCCACAAACCTCTTAATTGAATTAATCTAGTTCTTGTTGGTGATTAGTTTCGAGAGATGTTTCCTGAACTTCAGATGGAAAGTCATGACCGGTGGATAAAACCTGGTGGACGTGAAGACAAATACTCAACGATAACATTAGGTGATGGCTGTGCTATATCATGAACCGACAGAAGTTTTAAATATAGACCATTGGGTTCCTACCCAGTAGCTCGATGGTAACGTGCTTGCCATGGAACCCGAATGTCACTCATCCGGTCCATAATGGTGCGGAATCATCCGTGGACATTGCTGAGGAGTCCTAGACTAGGACGAAATAGCTGCTCAGTCCTTTTAGGTTTTCAGTGTTATTCCAACTGATATTAGTCCATGATGATGAAAGCCAACCTAACATTTATTTTTTTGCTTTTCACATATTCATTTTTCAACAAATTTAAAGAAGACACATGGGATCACAAGAACAGCTTCCTACTCTCAATATGAAGATTTAATTGATCAGGTTAGTTTAGATGAGTTAAGTGTGACTAGTGGTCAAGAAGAACATGAGGATGAAGAAGTAGAAGATGAAAGAGATGAAGTTGATGGAAGACATGAACAACTGCAAGATATACTGCAGACAAGTGGTGAATTTTCTAAAACTCAAATAAACATATCACAAACAAAGAATATCACTCTGAGAAGAGCTTCAGAACAAATTGGTATTAAAGATAACAAAAATATGACAAGACGATTAAATGATTTGAAAAATGTTGTTCAGTCTATAAATACGGAAACCAGTAAAATGCCAATGAATCAACAGCCTGATATACACATTATTGATAATGAAAATGATGCCAATAATAACAATGATCAAATAACTAGTCGTGAAGATCGTGTACATTTATATTTCACGAAACAAATTAGTGAAAATGTCGATGAGATTGACGACATGTCAGATAAGGGAGAGCAGAATTATAAATCTTATCACCATTCTGAGTCTACTACAAATACTGCATATAATAGTCACAAAGAACCATTTTTATGTGTTAATAAACCATCAAATGTTGCTCATTCTGATCGACTGGAAACGTTTGATGACGTCGACAGCGCTGTTTCGTCAATCATTATAGATGAAAAAGTAGGTGAAGATAAGAATTATGCTCAAACAAGTTGTACACAAATTTCCTATAATGATCAGTCCTTAAACTCAATGCAAACAGGTAAGAAATCAAACATTTTTTGTTTATTATTCAATCAAGTTGTATCAGATTTCATGATGAGAAACATCTTATTGAAGGTGAATTCGAATCAAAGGAATTGTTTAGAGTTAGAATAGGTATTCATCCTGTTCACTTTAAAATAAAACCTAAGATTTATCTGTCTAATATACGGAAGGAAGCGGAGATGGATTGTATTGGATATACACTGAAAATACCATTCGGGGATATCACGCATCAGGCCCTCAAGTGGGACCCATACTTGAAGCGACGAGTTGGACGTCCGAGGTGAGAGGGACATGGAGGAGATCGCGTGAGGAAGAAATGAAAGCTTCTGGGCTGTCACGGAACCAGGTCCAAAAGATTGCAGAGGAGAGAATACACTGGAGATACGCTACTGAAGCCCTATGTTTCATTAGGAACCCAAGGGACAAATAATAAATAACAATAATAACAATAATATGATCGTTTATTCCTAGTCTACAAAATGGGAATACTAAAGTGCAACCTTCAAAGCCCAGAAAGCTTGATAGCGTTTCCTGTTGATAATTTCCGAAGCAAGTTACAAAATCTATCTGCTGCAAATTTTTTATCATTTAGTTGGATGGAGGCACTCTGCTTGAAGTCCTGCTTGATCTAGGTTTCTAGCTTGTTGGTACTCGTCAGAAAGGCGTATCTCCAACCTTATCATAGTTATTTCTTACTAGATAGATTAAGACTATTCATACAGTTCTCAAAATGTCAACATCCTATTACTATTGTAGTGAAAACCTATCATCTAAGCTTTTATCCAAAGGTGTATCGATGCTTGTTATTTATAACAGTTCGTCAACTGGATGTACTTATCTCCTAGTGAGTGGTGGTGTTTTTTCTGAGACTTCAACCCAGGATTCATTGCTCCACATTTAACAGTGTTATCCACTAAGCTACTGAGTCACGAGGGCTACCTTGTATACAATTAGTAAATTATTATTGACTGACACTTATCATTTCATGTTGTTGCACCGGATTGAGGTGAGTGACCTCCGTCGGCATGTAGGCTTCAATCGAGATGCGTTGATACTGCTTAAGTATTCATTATGTCAAGATTTTTTGTGGTGACTAGGAAAGGTTAATCAATTTGATCCAGTATTAAAACAATATGTTGCTAAAATTGCGATCAGGAAGAAATTTCCCAAAGTATTAGCGTTCTAATAGGCTGTACCTAGGCTGATAGCATTATAACTAATTATTCTCCCTTCTATCATGCTGAAGACTTCTAGGGGTTGCCAAGGTGTTGCACCTATCGACGGGTTTATACTGATTACACTCTTCAAAAACGTTGAATAAAGGGAAGCATAGTTCTTCAGAATGTTCTTCTTGATAAAAATGACTGCGAGTTGTAGGTATTAAAATGTGGTTATTTGTCCCCTTCCTACTTATGTAAGATTGTTAATACCAGCGTGCGCGGAAATCATGCATTTTGTATAAAGGTTCTGCTGTAGTTTGAGATTTACAGGGATTTTACTTATTTCATTCAACTTAGTATTGATTACCAACTGACACTAACTGGATAAAGCCAGCGAGCAGTCGCCGGGTGTTTCGTCCTGGTATAAAACTCACCAAAATTACACCACCACGACTATGTCAAGGATCAAACTTATGACTTTCAGAGTTCACAGCTGACCCATAAACCGTCAAGTCACTGGATCGAAGTCTAGTAGTTCACAGTATCCTAATTCTGTCAGTTCGTGACATGGTTCAACTATCCAGCAAGGTCTTCTGCTTGTATTCGCTTCTAATGTGAAACCATGACCTGTGGTGTTAACTAGTAAGAACGTAAGTGTATGTGTATTGCTAAGGATTTCTATTCAGGGATGAAACAGCTGTTCAGTGCTCCCACTTTTCCAATGGTTCCTCAACTGATGTCAGTCCGTGATGAATACTAGTTTGAAGGATCTTAATAGAAGACCAATTTTGTTGTAGGAGTTCCGTGTATTTGCCTTACATTTAGAATAGTCTGATCATAGATTTACCTGTCGTCGCATTTGCCTTGTAAAGCGGTAACGAAAAGAGGTTAGGTAGAACAAGTATGGCAACTTGGGAGGTGGTTGTAAATTGTAATTCCAATATTCATAACTTTAAAGAGCAGAATATAACCAAGGTAAGTTTAGCGCAGAAATAGATTATTAGTGGACATGAATGAGCCTTAAATTTCCATATGGATAGCACGTTTGCAAATCTTAGCGTACGCTAGCGACGCAGCATATTATTATCATTATTATTATTATTATTATTATTATTATTATTATTAATATTTGTTCCTTATATTCCTAGTGGAACATAGGGTTTCACTAGCACGTTGCCATTTCACTCCCTTATCTGCAGTCTTTTCAACCTGTCTCCACCACTCCACACAAGCTTTCATTTCTTCCTCATACACCATCTCCTCCATGTCATCCTCAACTCCGAAGACCAACTCGTCCATTCCCCTTTGCATTACACTCGAGGGCCCGGCTGGCGCTTGATGTCACCAGTCGGCCTTCTCAGTGTAAGTCCAATACAATCCATTTACACTTTCTTCTGCATATTTGTTGGGAGATGAGTTGTTGGTTGGTTCGCTGCCAACCAGCCGGCAAGTCAGCCAGCCAGCCAGCCACAATGAGTTCCTCCTTCCTTATTCTTATTATTCTGACCATCTCCTCTCATCTCATATCATATCATCTCATCTGATCTTCAGTATGGAGTGAGCGAGTGTAGGTGGCAGCTATCGACATATGGTGTCTGCAGTTTGTTGGAAATGCTTTTCATAAGGCGCCATGTCTCTCAACCATCTCTCACATGGAAGCACTGACTCACCTGACTGACATTAGTGTTGAAAATCCGTATGTTGTTCACACTTTATGCTGAGTGGAGTGGAGTGGAGTGCAGTGTAGTGCAGTAGATCTGCACACTGATTTCAGATTTTTTATATGCTTATGAGCCTGAATGATAGTGTTGTAATGAGATGCACAAAGCGTTCCATAGTTGCGGGTAATATAAAGGAAGTCTTTACTTACTTTCCTCGTCTGTCAGTGTCACTTAGTAGGACCCATAGCACGTACCTCAGAAAACTAACTTTTCTTATTAGTTTGCAGCCAGTACTATGACATATTGGAATGAAAGACGTTTCGACTAAGCCATTTAGGCCATGGCTATTTCCCTGTTGCTGTGAATGTTTTACGCTAGATAGTTAGTTCTATGTGGCCATTGTCAGACTTTGGAATCCTAAGAACCAACCTGATTTACGAAAGACTTTTATGATGTACTTTAGAATAAAAATGGAATTGGATTCTTTAACCTCTTTTTTAAAAAACCCAGAATTCACTTTTAGAATTTGTGAGAGTTTGAACAATTTTAAGTTGGCATTCAACGTAAACTGAGATGAACAAAATAACCATAGAAATCCTAGGAGTACCAGTTGGTTGTTTCGTCCCTATATGTAACTTGTCACCTGTACACAGCCATGTCCTCACCAGGCGTCGAATCTCGAACCTGCATGTTCTGTGGTTATTATATTACCATTGAAGCACTAGGTTGGTATACAATATCCATATATTCTCAGTACTGTTATTTTCCGATATAGTTTAGTCTTCTTATAATGCCATCGATGAGTATTTGTTCTCATATCCAACTTAAAATCAGTAAAGCCTCACAAACTTTCAAACTGAATTACCGTCCAGTGCTAATTAGTTACTTGCTTTGAGACGAGATTTACTAAAGTTCTTTCTAATGTAATGTCTTTACTGATGGGGCAAACCAAGTTATACTTAAGGACAGTTACTCATAGTGACATTGAACGAAGGTCGCACTACATGAAAAACTAACGAGAGTAGGAAAATAATAACTATTGGTTTCCAACCCAATTATTCAATGGTATTCTGCTTGACACTGAGTTTGAAGGCCAGGGGTTTCATCCCTGCTTAGTCATTGGTGTGCACTGATGAGGCGTTCGATTATTATTATTTATGCCCTAGGTTCATAGTGGAACATAAGGCTTCAGTAGCACACCTCCATTCCACTCTCTTCTCTACAGTCCTTACAACCTGTCTCCACCACTCAACACAAGCTTTCATTTCTTCCTCACACACCATTTCCTCCATCTCACCATCACCTCCGAAGACCAACTTGTCCATTCCCCTTTGCATTACACTCGAGGGTGCGGGCTGGCGCGTGATGTCACCAATCGGTCTTCTCAGTGTATGTCCAATACAATCCATCTACACTTTCTCCTGCATATTTGTTGGGAGATGAGTTGTTGGTTGGTTCGTTGCCAACCAGCCGACAAGTCAGCCAGCCAGCCAGCCACACTGAGTTCCTCCTTGCTTATTCTTATTATTCTGACCATCTCATCTCATCTCCTCTCATCTCATCTCATCTGATCTCATCTGATCTTCAGTATCGAGTGAGCGAGTGTAGGTGGCAGCTGTTGACATATGGTGTCTGCAGTTTATTGGAAATTCTTTTCATAAGGCGCCATGTCTCTCAACCATCTCTCACATGGAAGCACTGATTCACTTGACTGACATGAGTGTTGAAAATCCATATGTTGTTCACACTTTATGCTGAGTGGAGTGGAGTGGAGTGCAGTGTAGTGCAGTAGATCTGCACACTGATTTCAGGTTGATGAAGGCTTGTCTTGCTGTCTTTTTGATCCTGGCTTTGATATCCTCATCTGTGCCACCGCCACCTGTAGTTGAAGCGGTGCTTCCTAGGTAGGTAGGTGGGAGAAAGAGATTACTTCCTTTATATTTGTCCGTTGATGATGATTGGTGCTTGTTGTTGTTGGTTGGGTTGGGTTGGATAACTTCATAACCTCTGTCTTCTCTACGTTCACCTGAGGGAAGTCCTTATCTTACTTCGCTGCCTCACCTATTCTGTCAACTTGTTTGTTTTCTCCCGTACATCTTCGAGCTTGTGATACATGAGACATGAATCATCAGCGAAATCCAAATGCTCTAGTGTGTTTATATGGAGCCCATCTT